GCCTTTCGGTCCCATGCAAATATTTTGTTCTCAATAGTATTTGACGTACTTCTCTCCTCAGAGTTTCTTGGAAAGTATTTGAAAGTTGACTAGTAATTTATGCACTTCTTCTAGCAGTATCCCTTCTTTGCTCTCAAGAGCATATGGTTTTAAATCAACAACATTTTGACACAATGCACCAAGTCTACCTTCAAGAGGTACTTTCAACATATCATTACTGGTATTCTAGCGTGTAGATACGAAAATATTTACAGAAATATTGCAGATATTATTTGCAGAAATACTTACCTGCGAGACTCTCGTACGAGACGCAAGACCTCATGCAAGAGATTCGAGACGAGACCAATGAAAGTCTCGTCTTGTCTTGTCCGATTATGATATAATCTACAAACTAGCGGTCAATTCGAAAAGAAAAGATCAAAAACTTATACACCGAATGAAGACTGAGAATTAGAAGAAGTAGTAGTTTTAGGGGCAATGGGAAATAATCCACAGATATCAACGCGGCAATTTAGTGTAACCACGGGAATTCGAAGAACCAAAGCTTTTGAAAAAATTCAGATTTAAGCCATACAGAACTAGCAAAGTCTCAAATTACTTCAGACTAGGAGATTTTGAACGGCGCATGAATTTTTGCCAATGGTTCTTGGGAAAATGTGACGAAGAACGCAATTTTTCTTTAAATTGTATTTGGACAGATGAAGCGTATGTGAGTAGTGCTGGTGCACAAAAAATATTTGAATATATTTAGGGAACAAATCGAACCTGTTGTTGACGATTTACCTCTAGCTCACCTGCGAAATGTATTTTTTCAACATGATGGCGCACCACCTCACAATGCTGCTATTGTCAACAATTTATTGACCGCAGCTTTTGGTGATTGTTTGTTAGGTAATCAAGGTTCTATTCGTTGGGCGGCTTGGTCACCGGACCTAACACCTATGGCTTTTTTCCTTTGGGGAAGATTGAAAGATGTTATCTATAAACAACCAATAAATAGCAATTAGAAGCCGCAGTTGTGAACGCTTTTGCAATACTTAGGTCCATTGAGCTTATGAACTTGGCAAAAAGGGCTAAAAAAAGATGTCAACTGTGTATAACACAAACCATTTTGGGGTCATTTTCTATAGAAATGGGATTTACTTTTGTTGTTATTTGTTGCTATACAGGGTGTCTCAGCGAGACCAGTCATTAGACGTTTCTGGGGTTCTGGCGAAACTAAAAATTTGAGAATTCAGACTTAAGTATTATCAATTGCGATCTCTTCGACTAAAATATTTTCAAATTTCTTGTACTTCCGGTTATACCGGAAGTCGCCACCTACTTTATTTTTTTAAATGGAACACCCTGTATATTTTTACATATTTGGATTTGTCTGTTTCAAGGTTTATATATAACTTTACTTTTTGCAATTTGATTCGACCGTTCTCGAGTTATTCGAATTTTTCTAGAAAAATCTGCTCGAGAAGACATTTGTTCAAAAAATCAGAGAACACTCGATTTTTGGGATATCAATTTAGGATTCAGAACATGCTTTAGCAACATGATAGAGTATGTTTTGGTGCCGAGAATGACTCTCTAGAACGTTTGGTCACTTTACTATGGCACGTTAACTTTTCAAAATTTGGAAGTACCATAAAGTAAGTACCTTCATTTTTTTAAATGGCACCCCCCATATTTTATTACTTAGTCGTCTTCGGTGTCTCATTCTACATCTTTTATATCCCATATGTCCCATACCTAACATTAATAGTTTGAGAAATAATTAGGGTTTTTTGAAAAATGCACACATATCATATGGATATTTAGCCTAGTGTGCCATGAAAAACAAGTCTTCTCAATGAGTTCTTGTCAAAGACTCACTTGTTTACGTCACTTGATGCATGTGAGTTAATAACTATCTGTTATGTCCCTTAATATTAGTACTGAAAAGAGTTAAAATCGATAACAATAACGAAAGTAATATTTACACAAATCAAGAAATTCTTAATTTATTTTTTATGCATGAAAAGCGCGACAAAGTTCGTAGTATGATTCCCAGAACTTCTTTGGCTGCTCGAATTGAGGTGTTGGGACTGTGCTCGAAATAATCCAAGGCATTCACCTCTTCCGTTGCATTATCTACTACATTTTTGGTCAGTTTAACACGTGATTAATTCGTCCAAAATGCAAAAAATTTGCTTCTATTCTTCTAAATTTACCTTTTGTCATCGGAGGTAAATGTGGATAATTTTCATTAAACATTCTACAAGTTCTACTAAGAACTTTGTCGCACTTTTCGTTCACAAAAAATAAATTATGGATTTCTTCATTTGTATAAACATTATTTACGTTATTAATATTCATTTTAACTGGTTTTAGACTTACAAGCATCATACAACGTATATCAGACTTTGACGTTTGTCAATAAGTCATTAAACATTTGTTTTCGATGGCACACTAGGTTAATATCGATATAATATGTGAGCATTTTTCAAAAAACCCTAATTATTTCTCAAACTATTAATGTTAGGCATAGGACATATGGAGTATAAAAGATGTAAAATGAGACGCCGAATACGACTAAGTAATAAAATATGGGGGATGCCATTTAAAAGAATGAAGTTATGGTGCTTCCAAATTTCGAAAAGTTAACGTGTCATAGTAAAGTGACCAAACGATCTAGACAGCCGTTCTCGGCACCAAAACATACTCCATCATGTCGTTTAAGCATGTTCTGAATCCTAAATTGATACCTCAAAAATCGAGTGTTCAATGATTTTTTGAACAAAAGTCCGCTGGAGCAGAATAACTGGAGAACGGCTGAATCAAATTGCAAAAAGTAAAGTTATTTATAAACCTTGAAAACAGACAAATCCAAATATGTAAAAATATACAGGATATTCCATTTACAAAAATAAAGTAGGTGGCGACTTCCAGTATAACCGGAAGTGCAAGAAATCTGAAAATATTTTAGTCGAAGAGATCGTAATTGATAATACTTAAGTCTGAATTCTCAAATTTTTGTTTTCGCCAGAACCCCAGAAACGTCTAATGACCGGTCTCGCTGAGACACCCTGTATATTTATTTTTGTTTTATAATAAGTTTTATTAATTTAATCCGCTTCTTGTTTATGAATTTGTTTTAATTGATTGTATCCAACTATCTTAATACTACTTATAAATATAATTTCGTTTTTCTTTTATTTCCGAGGCCTACTTTTTCAAAAACTGCACATTTAAGTTTTAAAGTTGTATATTTCAAAGAAGACTTGATCGAAATATCAAGTGTGCTATATTTTTAGAAAGGAAATTTTATGCACTCGTCGAATTTGCGAAAATATATAGGATCTGTTCCATTTAAAAAAATCATTTTTATGTCAATAACTACTAAAATATTGCTTTGAGGGAAAGGTAACTTACTCCATCGAAATCTAGATAAAAAGTTGCTTTGGAAATATTTTCACAGAAATTAAGATTTGTCAATAAGAAAAAAGTTATGACGACTTTTCGAAAATGCACTTTTTTCAAAAACAGCCTGTATCTCTGAAATCGTACAAGATATCGATATGCGGTTTTCGCCATTAAGTTTCTTATAAAAATCGAACTTCAGACATTTTCTGATGTCATTTTTCCTCCATCTCTTATAGAAGTAGGAGTTTCCCTTTAAAAGTGTCCAATTTGGCCCACCCTGTACAGTGTTACTTATACATACTTTACACGAAACTACTCAAACTATTAAATGTTACTACTACGTAAATGATTTCTTGTCTTCGATTTTATTTCTGCACAATAAATTCCAACCGTTTTAAAAGAAAATTGTTTATTTGATTCAATAAACCCAATATTTTCACTCCGAATCATTCTCTGTTTCACGCTCTCACTCTCTCTTCCTCTCTCTCTTGAGCTTGCGAGAATCTTTTTCCATCTCTTTCAATCTTCTCTCACTTCAAAACAGCAAAAAGTCGGCCAACTTGTTCCGTTTTTACTCAGTAATTGCCGCGATGTCGACCGTTAAACATCTCATTTAATCACAAGTACTGGTAGAACTTTAAAAACTAAAAAGATATAATATACTAGTGGCCGGATTTTCTAAAGTGTTTTGAAATGAATAAAACCGTTCATAGACTTTCGGATTCTTATAAAAGCTTCAAAGAAGAAGAAGAAAAGTTCAAAACGCACGGGGAAATACGTTTTAAAGCGACCTCCTTAGATTCTTTAGCGAATTCCGATTCGAAATCTAGCGAAAGTTCTTCATCGGATCCAGAAGAATCTGATTTTGAGGATTCAAAACCATTTGTACAGAAAAAGAAGCTATGTGACTATATGAAACGTGAATACGTTCCAAAAAATCTTAGTATTCACGAAAATTTAGTTACACTAGTGTCAAAAACTGTTCAATCTGAGCAATTTGTATTAAATAATGATCAAAATCGGCTGAAAATCAACGAAGTTGAAACGAAAGTAAAAAAAGGTGATGAGAAAACCGATAAGGGCCGAATGGAAACGATCCCAGAAGAAATAAATGAGCCAAAAGTGTCTGTTAGAGACATCTTAGCACGTTTTGAAAATTTAAAGGACAAAAATGCTAAAAGCGTCGATAGCAATGATAAAATAGATTCCAAAGATGCTAATAATAACGAACAGATAGACAAAGTCGGTCAAAACGAGGTAACATTTCAAAGCACGGTGACTTCTCAAACAGCAAATATTGAACTTGTTTATTTTGATTTTACTTAATAAAAGATTGATAATAAACTAAATAATTTTAATTTATCTCTATGAATTTGAGGTTAAAAGCTTTCTAAAACAACATCTGGTTAATAAAACTGTTAAAACCGTTAACATTATTATCGTTATAAGCTTTGTTGTTCGAATTTAACGGACCGGGAGATATAATTTAATCAAGTAACATGTTGCAAGTGAGGAAATTACTTTCATATTAGCTATCTTTGATTAGTTAATAATCTTAATTTTGTTCTTGCTTGTTGTATTATGGAGTATATTTTCTCATGTTTCAGTTACAATCAAAGTTTTCTCCGCCAATAAAAACCCAACCTTCGCCACCATCTGAAAGATTGGAGTCAATAACAATTTTAGCAGAAGATTCTTTAGTACAAGAAACTAAAGTCGGATCAAAGAAAAGAGATGTAACACCTCCACCGCCATCTACTGGCAGATTTTCGTTACTTCAATTTGCCGAGAAACATTTTAGAAACTGTTCCGAGTAAGTTTTCTAGTTCTTTTTAATTAAATCTTTTTTGATACGGTCAATTACACTGTTAAGGTCTGTTAAACTTGAAACCCGTTGAAATCTTATGAATTTTTATAAAGATAACTGTAAGTTGCAAAAAGAAAGGTTAATAAGATAAATGACTTTAAGGATCATCTTTCATCTATATTAGATTTTTACGTCAATTTTACCTTTATTAAAAGAGATTTTTGGTTACTTAAATGTTGTCTTAATAAGCAATTTATTCTACTGATTAGACAATGCTATTACTATTAATTTACCATAACTACATACAGAGTGTCTCAGCGAGACCGGTCATTAGATGTTTCTGGGGTTCTGGCCAAAATAAAAATTTGAGAACTCAGACTTAAGTATTATCAATTACGTTCTCTTCGTCTAAAATATTTTCAGATTTCTAGCACTTCCGGTTATATCGGAAGTCGCCGCCTACTTTATTTTTTTGAATGGAATACCATGTATATTTTTACATATTTAGATTTGCCTGTTTTGAAGGTTTATAAATAACATTACTTTTTGCAATTTGATTTGGCCGTTCTCGAGTTATTCGAATTTTTCTAGAAAAATCTGCTCCAGCGGACATTTGTTCAAAAAATAATAGAACACTCGATTTTTGAGATATCAATTCAGCATTCAAAACATGCTTAAACAACATGATGTTCAACAATATGTTTTGGTGCCGAGAACGGCTGTCTAGATCGTTTGGTCACTTTACTATGACACATTAACTTTTCGAAATTTGGAAGCACCATAACTTCATTTTTTTAAATGGCACCCCCCATATTTTATTACTTAGTCGTTTTCGGCGTCTCATTTTACATCTTTTATACTCCATATGTCCTATGCCTAACATTAATAGTTTGAGAAATAATTAGGGGTTTTTGACAAATGCTCACATATCATATCGATATTAACCTATTGTGCCATGGAAAACAAATGTTTAATGACTTATTGACAAACGTCAAAGTCTGATTTCTGTTGTTTGATGCTTGTGAATCTAAAACCAGTTAAAATGGATATTAATAACGTAAATAATGTTTATACAAATGAAGAAATCCATAATCTATTTTTTGTGCACGAAAAGTGCGACAAAGTTCTTAGTAGAACTTGCAGAATGTTTAATGAAAATTATCCACATTTACCTCCGATAACAAATGATAAATTTAGAAGAATAGAAGCAAATTTTTTGCATTTTGGACGAATTAATTACGTGTTAAACTGACCAAAAAATGTAGTAGATAATGCAACGGAAGAGGTGAATACCTTGGCTTATTTCGAGCCCAGTCCCAACGCCTCAATTCGAGCTCTCAAAGAAGATCTGGGAATCATACTACGAACTTTGTCGGGCTTTTCATACATAAAAATAAATTTTGAATTTCTTGATTTGTGTAAATATTACTTTCGTTATTGTTATCGATTTTAACTCTTTTCAGTACTAATATTAAGGGACCTAACAGATAATTATTAGCTCACATGCATCAAGTGACGTAAGCAAGTGAGTCTTTGACAAGAACTCATTGAGAAGGCGTGTTTTTTATGGCACACTAAATATCCATATGATATGTGTGTATTTTTCAAAAAACCCTAATTATCTCCCAAACTATTAATGTTAGGTATGGGACATATGGGATATAAAAGATGTAGAATGAAACACCGAAGACGACTAAGTAATAAAATATGGGGGTGCCATTTAAAAATATGAAGTTATGGTACTTCCAAATTTTGTAAAGCTAACGTGCCATAGTAAAGTGACCAAACGTTCTACAGCCGTTCTCGGCACCAAAACATACTTCATCATGTTGCTTAAGCATGTTCTGAATCCTAAATTGATATCCCAAAAATCGAGTGTTCTCTGATTTTTTGAACAAATGTCTGCTGGAGCAGATTTTTCTAGAAAAATTCGAATAACTCAAGAACGGCCGAATCAAATTGCAAAAAGTAAAGTTATTTATAAACCTTGAAAGCAGACAAATCCAAATATGTAAAAATATACAGGGTGTTCCATTTAAAAAAATAAAGTAGGTGGCGACTTCCGGTATAACCGGAAGTGCAAAAAATCTGAAAATATTTTAGTCGAAGAGATGGTAATTGGTAATACTTAACTCTGAATTCTCAAATTTTTATTTTCGCCAGAACCTCAGAAACGTCTAATGACCGGTCTCGCTGAGACACCCTGTATAAATAAAGCATTAGAGTTAATAAAATAACGAAAACCATTAAAAGTGCGATTTCCACGAAATATTTAGAAATTGATTTAATGGGCGATAGTTGGATTGCGTTGGATTAAAAAGAAGACTAATAAATTCATTGAAGTGATCTGCACTCAACTTTCTTAAATTTTATATTGCAATAATAGAGGAATTAAAAAAAAACCTTAAATTGGCATTTATTATGGCTTGAACTGAATAAAGAGAAAAACAGATACTCTGACTTTAATACATTTGATTCCAGTCTGTTGTATGAGATCTGTTCGGTTACTGGGATATATTTGTGAACTACAGACAGGTTTTTCTCCGGTGTTTTTTTGAATAAAATGACAAAATTGTCAGCCACACTACCAGGGTTGTCCCATTTTTTCGTGTTCCTGATTCTTCTACCATCCACAAGTTTTTGTTTGAACACTCTGTATAAATTTTGATATCGTATTTAAATTTCCTATGCTTTTCTTCAACTTTTTCATCTGACGCGTTATTCTCGTATCTGCCACCGTTTTTAAGATACCTTGGGAAAATAGCCATAAATTTACAAGTAAACCACGTAGTTGACCACATGTCTACCGCCCCCTAAAATATCTGCACGTCGTTCACTAACACTCTATATGTGTTAATACGTAAAGCATTTTAGAGTTATATTAGAATTTATAAATGTTAATAAACATTTTTAAAAACTTGGTTAAATTTTTAAAAACGGCATTAAAGAAAAATACCTCCAAAACGATTAGAAATTAAGAAATGAAACTTTATGAGGTTATAGAATGTTTAGGGTTAGATTGAATCAAATTTTAAGTTTTCGTGTATAACAATTTATATTATATGAAAAGAAACGATTGTTTTTTCCAAAATAGTTAGGAATTAAGATATGAATTGAATTTTTTTGAGGGTAAAACGAAACGTTTGAGTTTAGGTTACACCAAATTTTAAGCGGCAGGGTCATTTTAATTTGTATTTGTGTTTGTTGAAAATGGAATTAAAATTATTTTCCCAAAAACAGCGTGAAGTTAAAAATAAAAAAAAAAATTGTAGGCTATAAAATGAACGTCTTTCAGGTTTGGTTATATTAAATTTAAAGTGCTATTCTGGAACGTAATTTTTATTATTTATTAACTTCGCTTCGTGATAGAACATGACCGAGCTGTAGACCTCACAGCTCGGTCATGTTTCGCTTTCCACTCTACGATTGTTTTAATTAATTTGACATCTCCTGGAATTAATACCGAGTTCTTCATCGATCTTTTCTATTTACTAATTAATTCTTATTTATTTTTTATTGATAGGGTTTCCATTCCCCAATTATTTTTTCGAAGTGCATTTGTAAAGTGTGTTTATTTTTCGAAAATTCATTTTTACTCGGTTATTAATTGAGGAGCTTGGAAATAAAAGCGGCCTTGTCCCACAATAAAAATTGTTCGGGAGAACACTTCTAGATTGATTTGCAATAAAAAAGTAATAAATATAAATATACAGTTCGTCCGTAAAGTAGCGGATATAGGTGATAAAATCATTATAAACGGTTTATGGAAAGATGCCTGACACGGGTCTAAAGATTTTTTTTTGCAATTTTGTGATGTAGATTTAAAAATTTTTCCGCCATTTTTAAACAAGTTATGACGTCATCGATATTTTTTTTTCAAATAACCATCCCCTTTTATTACAGAATAAGAAAGAGAATTCTTTCTGAATTTAATTTAGTCAATATTAATATTACATAAGAAAAATTACTTTAAAGTATAATTACTTCAAATTTGCTGGACATGATAAAAATAGCAGTAGCCATGAGTAACTATGGTAACCAATTATTTGACACAACTCCTTCCAATTATGGAAGGAGTCATGTCGTTTGAAACAATCTCTCTCCATTTAAGATTTGCAGACACATATTTGCGGATATTGTCTATATACTTGTCCAAATTTGTAAAATTCTTGCAACAACGAGTCATTGCCCGTGGATGGGGTTTATATTATAGGGATGATATTTTGCGGTTTTTAAAATTTTGTGATTCATTGATTTACTAATGTCCAGGTTCGACCCACTACGTTTTGTTGAACATCCCCTGAAATATTCGGTCGGCCAGACTTCATAGATGCCCATGATTTTTATATTTGGTCCCAGCTGAGCTTACCATACTCATTAACCTCATTAACCAAAGGCGATCAGGATATGTTGCATTAACGAGATCAACTACTTACTAAATCAATTTTTGACACTTAGGAAATTGTTTACAATAATTGGATACCATAGTTACTCATGGTTACTGTTATTTTTATCATGTAAAACAAATTTAGAGTAATTAAACTTTAAAGTAATTTTTCTCCACAATTTTCGCATTTAACCAATATTAATATTGGAGTTGTGTATTTTTCTTATCGTCGTGTGAATTAATGAAACTAAATATTGCACTTAAACATTATAATAGTTTATTGTGAAGGAACTTTCAAATTTCGTTTCGATGAGCTCCTGTTTAAGTTTATATTCGATGACGTCGATTTCCTGAAGATGACTGTCACACAGTCGAAACCGATAGAAATCTAATTTATATACAATAAATATTACCGTTTAAGTGCAATATTTAGTTTCATTAATATTAATATTGATTATACTAAATTCCGAAAAGAATTCAGAAAGAAATTCCTTTCTCCACAGTTTAAAAAAAAACTAATAAAAACCAAAAAAAGACGTTAATTGACCTTAGGAACTCACTTCTGAAAAATGGTTTCAATTGATTTACGCGTTTTCGAGTCCTCTAGCGGCGAAACGAA